TTAGATGGTTTGGTCACATAAAACAATGGCCTTCTGATGACCCGGTTAGGAAAATAGAGGTGTTAGATTTGACTTATGTTAAGAAAGGTAGAGGTAAAAGAGTCTTGGTTAGAAAAAAATAGAAATGATATTTCTTTATTAGATTTAAACAAGAATTTGACTTTTAACATAACACAATAGATAAAAATGATTCATGTAGCCGACCCCACAAAGTGGGACAAAGACTTGTTATTGTTGTTGTTGTATAAACTATAGATAGAAAATCATAAACTAGATATTGGACAATCCACTCTTTTAGCATTTGAGTGTTTTCTTAGATAGGCTATATATTTTGTTATTCTTTGTAATTAAGTTGATTATTAGCGCCATGGAAACTTGTGTGTTAAATATGGCACTGAAAATCCAAATAAGTAAGACAAGACATTGTTACTTGTTTTGCCAAAAAAAAAAAAAAAAAGGAAGAAGAGAGGAGAAATTATAATTCGAGTTGCCATCAACTCTAGAAAATAGGAGATTAAGAGGATGGAGGAAAATCATTGGAGAATGGGGATAATTCATTGTTTTATTCATACCTTAATTGTACCGAATGAAAAATAGTTGAAAGATTTTTTTACTAAAAAGCTACTTTAAAAAGAGTAAGAAAGTCGTCCAAAATGAAGCCTAAAACAAAATATAAAGCCATATTATTTTCCCCCAAAAAAATCATATTAATTTGGTTCAATCTATTGGTAAATAATAATAATAATAACACAAATCTCATAATATTATACTAAAGTGGTAGATGTTTGAAGAATATAAAAGGTGCTTAGTTTTTTTCTTAAACATCTTATAATATTATATTTTAAGGAAATAATGGATCCATCAAATCCATATGTAGCATTATAATAATGAGAAAGGGCCAAAGCAAATCACAAAGCCCACCGTTTAAATCTTTCAAATCACATAAAAAAATAATGACGAGCATTGAACCTGCACATTAACAACGTTCCCTAAGCAAATTAATAAACCAGAGATTAACTAAGGATTTTCTACCATTGTTAATGCTTTTTTTTTAATAATTAAACTCTAAACCTTTAGTTTAATAGTCTAACTTGCAATAGTGTTAGTACTATATTAGTTGTTAGGGATGTCCATAAATGACTTAGGCTGCGTTCGAGATAAATTTTTTTTGTTGATTTCTAAAACAGCTTTTTAATACAAAATTTTGTGAATTAATTTTTTTTTTACTGAAAATCATTTTAGAAAGCATAAAAAAAGATGTCCCAAACGAAGCATTATATTTGGCAATTTGACTTTGAATCCGATTCGAAAATTTTGATTCGAATTAAGGTACACAACTCTCCTTGGCCTATTGGTTGAGAGCTTAGGCTTTCAACTAAGAGGTCCAAGGTTCGAATCTTTGTGAATGCGTTGTGTGTGTGAATTTGCCTTAAATGGCCTAAATGTCCCCAAAAAAAAAAAATTAAGGTCCGAAATTCTAACATGCTTAATTGTTAGGTAGGATTCGAGTTGATAGAATGACAGGCAAATATCTTTTTGACACAATAATTATCCATTTATTTATTTATTTATTTATTTTGCTTCAATTATTTTGTTTGTTGGTATGCTTGTCTTATTTTTCATTAATTATCCTAAACTCTATGGCTAACAAGTTACAATATTTTTTAATCAATATAGGTTACTATTTTAGGTTTAGATTATTCGGGTTGCGGGCAAGTCAGATTTGACAGATAAAGCGGATGGGGTTCAAGTCGATTGAGTTGTAGATTGAGTCAATTTTGAATCGGACCTGAACTCAATCAGTTAACCACTATTGGTTGTGATCATGTGGTGTATATATATATATATATATATA